TATGACAAAATAACAATTTATAAAATATCAAGGGCTCATGAGGGAGGGGGAGCGGGGAGGGAGGGGAAAATGAGGACCTAATATCGGGGGTTTAAGTGGAGAGAAAATGTTTTGAGAATGAAGTACAAGTGCGCTTTACACAATTGATGTGTATGGATTGTGATAAGAGTTGTATGAGCCCCTAATAAAATGTTTTTTTAAAAAATAAAAAGGGCAGCTGTATCTCCAGACGTTCAAAAAACAAAACAAAAAAAAGGAGTCAGCATCGACTCGGTTAACAGTGAGGTTTTGTTTGTTTGTTCGTTGCGTGCTGAGGCCAAGGAGCCCTGGTGTCACAGTGGTTAAGTTGATTGCTTAACCAAAAGGTTAGCGGTCCGAACCCCCTCGCTGTCCAGCAGGAGAGATAGTAGTCTGCTTCCATAAAGATGTACAGCCTTAGAAAAAACCCGATGGTTATTTTCACTCTTAGGTATTGACAGGGTTGCTGGGAAGCGTAATTGACCTGTTACGTGGGTGTGGTTTGGCTGAAGACCTATCAGCCCCTCTAAGGAGAAAAGGCGGTTTTCTACTCCTCTAATGAGGTACAGCTTCAGAAACCCACCGACTTCCCTCTAGTGACTCTATAGGGTAGAGTCACTGTGGGTTTCAGGGCGTCAAATTCCTCATCCTTCTCCCGTGGAGTGGCTGGTGGTTTCAAACTACTGACATTATGTTCAACAGCCCGACTTGTAGCGCACTATGCAACCAGGGCTCCTACAGAGGCGTTTACACTGTTCTATCGGGTCGCTGTAAGTTGGAATTCACTGATAGAAATGAATTTGGTTTGTGGCTGAGGTTGTCCAGCTACTGCTTAGGGGCTGGCTTTCACACGCTCAACTCCGCCTCCTCACTGTCATTGGCTGTTGTTCTTCCTGGACACGCCCACTTTCCCCGCCCCAAACAGCCTCAAGCCTGATTGGATGCCAACGTTCTTTTGTTTTGGCAAAATCAAATCGGTGTCTTAGGAGATAGGACTGGGGCTCCAGCCAGCTAGTGCGCAGGCGTCAGTTCTGAATCAGGATTGGCTGGAATCTGGGCGGGACGAGGCGGGGCTTTCCTCTTGGCGCACGCTCTGTGGGCGGGGAAGGCGGGGCTGCGAGTGTCAGTAAGTCCCTGCGTCCGGGCCTGAGGCGTCCTCCCACCCCTGCTCCTCCCGGCCCCTCCAACAGCAGGTGAGGGCGGTCCCGGGCTGCGGCGGCGGCGGGAGCTGAGGGCCCCGGGCCTCAAGGGCCGGAGGACTGGAGAGGCGGGGTGGCAGGACAGCGGCCGGGGGCTGTTCTGGCTGGTGGCTGAGGCCTGGCTCCCTGCGGAGCCTCTGTGCCAGCTCCCTTTCTGCGTCTAGCAGGGCCCTGCGGTTCCTGTGCGCCCCCGGCCCCAGGCGCACACCCCGTCGGGGATGGGGCTCGGGAGGGCGTCTGGGGGGACGGGCCCGTGCTTGGCTGGGCGCCCAGCCCAGGAGACAGGGGAGGCAGCGGGGGACCTTCTGGGCGTTGACAGCTACGCTGGGATTCGTTGTTCTTTCCGCTTCTCTTGAAAGTCCTGCTAGCAAGTTTGGGGTGGGAATGGGGAATAAGGGTTAAAAACCTAGGGGCGACTTTCGTGGAAAGACAAGGGTTCCTTGACCCAGTGTCTGGGCCTCCCGGTGCCATGACATAACAGAAGGGTAGCTGCTGGGCCAGGTGTTCCCACGCACCTACAAACTCTGCCTTCTAGCCCCACCCCAGGGGTCCTCATTCGTTCAAATCGCCCCCAGGGCCTGGTCGAATTTGAAAAGGGGTTCATCTACCCCAGAACCTAAACAAAGCGTTAGATTTGACCTAATGCGAACAAACTGCCGAACCCCTGCAGCTTAAAGGGAATGGAATTGATCATCAGTTGCTGGGTTCTGAACCGAAATGCCCCAGGGATTTGGCGTCGGAGGTTGCCAACCGTTCGGCAGGCTTTGATTGTTGGGTGCTGTGGCTTTCTTTTCTATTTAGAGCAAGCCCATGTAACCATAGCACTGCCCCACCGTGTCACTCCGGTTGTGAGGTCGGGCCCCATGGAAAAGGTTGGTGTGTGAGCTCACCTGGTACTCCATGGAGAATGTCTTGGTGATTTGCTTCTACAAAGATCACCCATCAACCCCCCGCCTTAGATTCTGACTCATTGTGACTCTAGAGAGGGTTTCAGAGGCTGTCGCTCTCTATGGGAGTGGATAACCTTCCCTTTCTCCCAGAGGCCAGCCGGTGGGTTTGAACCATTGGGTTTTGCGGTCAGCAGTCCAACACGTACTAGCAGCAGCATTAGGGCTTCTCTTGGGAAGATCACCGCAATTGAGAAAACCTGATGAGGTAGTTCTGTTTTGTCACAAGGAGCCTCTATGAGTCAAAGGTACCTTTCTCCCTGAGAGCCCCTGGGTGGGTTCAAACTGCCAACCTTTCCATTAGCTGAGCTTAGCCATAGCACCACCAGGGCCCCATAAATTGTGATAAGAGTCACATTAGAGTTTCTTCTATTTAATAGAAAAGGCAGGGACTTTGGAGTTAGATCTGGAAAGAAGTTTAACCAGAATGCTCCTTAGAAGATGGCAAGACTTCATCTCATATTTTGGACTTGTTTTTAAGAGAGATTCAAACCAAACATAATGGCATCGAGTTGATTCTGATTCACTGTGACCCTACAGGGCAGAGTAGAACTGCCCCCGTGGGTTTCCGAGACCAGCTCTTTACGGGAGTAGAAAGCCACATCTTTGTGCCGAGATGCGGCTGGTGATTTTGAACTGCTGACCTCAAAGTTAGCCGTCCCAGGCAGCAGCCCCTGCATACCTACCATGTCACCAGGGCTCCTGCTAGGAGAGACTGGCTGAGACATCCTGCTTGGTAAAGTAGAGGCCCTGAAAAAAGAGGAAGACTCTCCACAAGGTGGGTTGACCAGTGGCTGCGCAGTGAGATTGAACATAACAGTAATAATGAGGATGACACAGGCCAGCCAGTGCTGCCTTCTGTTTGCACATAGGGTCACGGTGTGCCCAAACTCAATGGCTCCCCAAAACACCATCACCAGCAGATTTGTGGTACAGACATTGGTTGTCAAACCGGAGACAAACTAAATAACCATTTTGGAATTTTGTGTCCATGTGTATATATTGCGGTATCCTTCTGTCCATTTGACGAAATAATGATGGAAGGACAGTAATACACAAAGTAGTTGGACTAATCCATTAATAAGTACATGACGGTTGATGTTAGATTATAGCGGAAAATCTGCTTTAGATGCAGCGAAATTTGGTGGTTGAGGTTGGGCAGGACTAGGAAAAAGTCTCAAGCTTCCCAGTCTCCTGTCTGAGCGCAGCTAGGGTAGACTGCTGGGCAGTGCTGGGGCATGAGCTGGAGTCTCGGCTCTGTTGGCACTTAGCTTCGTGATTGGGGCAGGCCATTCTCATCTTCAGCCCTGGCTGCTTTATTTGTAAAATAGGCATCTAGAACATACGACGTGGCATAGTGGGGTACCCTTGGGCTGCTAACCACGAAGTCAGCGGTGTGAACACACCGGCTGGAGAAAGATGAGGCTTTCTGCTCCCTTACAGAGTAACAGCCTTGGAAACCCAGGGGGCAATTCTACTCCGTCCTGTAGGGATGCTGTGAGCTAGAATCTACTTGATGGCAGTTGGTTGGAATGATTTAAGCTAAAAGAGAAGATGATAACTTACATTTCTTGAATTATGCACTATGTGCTAATATCGGTTCCATGCATGTGTGTATCAACTCATTATATCCTCACAACAACCCTTGATCTACATTCTATTGCTTTTCCTACTTTGCAGATTAGGAAACTGCCTGAGAACATATCGATCGGCTTAGTGTAGGGTTCTAGAGCCTACACACAGCAGAGCTGGCATTTGAGTTCAGGCTCAGTTCATGTTCCGACCACTGTGCTCAAAGTCCTCTGGAGAAGAGGGATACTGTAACACTATGAGTAGAGATTGTAGAGGTTTATTTGATACTGTGATAGTCTTTGGTCTATGGGCACAGAAAAGATCATTTATTTAGTTAAATTGATCTTAACCTAATGCAGTGGTTCTCAACCTTCCTAATGGTGCCGCCCCTTAATACAGCACCTCATGTTGTGGGGACCACCCCATATATGGGCGTATCTGCATGTGGGCGGACCACCTGGAGATGGATAGAGGAGTGGTGTCTCGGTTCCTTATTTCCATTGGAAATAAGGTCTTAGGTGACGCCTGTGAAAGGGTTGTTTGACCCCAAAGGGGTCGCAACCCACAGGTTGAGAACCACTGCCCTGATGTTTGCCATGTTTCCTGATCCTTGTTCTCACCATGCCTTCTGACTCCTGGATGCGAGGTACCCAAAAGATTCTGGATTATCTTCCACTGACCAAGACTGGATGAGAGTAGGTACCAGGCTTTATTCTTGTTGTTTGAGATAATCTGTAGTACGTGATTGGCCATAGCTTAGGTTAGAGTTGTGGAATCTCAGAGGATCCTCCATTTCAGGGCTAAGGCAAGTGCCTGGTACTCAGAGCAGCCTTGGATTGAACAGACCCTCAGCACCCCGAATTTGTTTCTATGTTCCCACATTTAGGTATTCATGGGAGCCTTCCATTATGTGTACGAAAGAGTGGAGTTTAAAATGAACTGCCGAGAGGACTGTAGTCATGGAATTTGAGTGATGTGATAGCACCTGTCGATGTACAGGGATCTTATGCTTGGAGCACTACGCTTTGCGTGGAGCACATCCCATGATGCACTGTGGTAGTGTGTTGGGGTACTTCAGGCTCGATGCTGCACACCTGGAGGAAGGATTCTATGTATTTTTAAAGAAAATAAAATACTTGAACACAGACATCTCAACAACTTTTCAAAGCGTGATCTTCAAATACTAGAATAGTGTATATACTCGTGTATAAGCCGAGTTTTTCAGCACATTTTTAAATGCTGTTTTGGTGGTAAAATTAGGTACCTCGGCTGATTTTTGGGTCAGCTTATACTCAAGTATATAGGTAGGTTGAATAACTTAACAGATCATAATAAAAACAACCCTCTGAAAAATATATAGTAATCCATTTGTGTGGATTTACATGGGTGCAGTGGTACAGTGAGTTAAGTGTTGTGCTACCAGCCAGAGGGTCAAGAGTTGAATCCACTAGCCCTTAGTGGGAGAAAGAGGAAGCTGTCTGCATCCCCTGAAAGATGTACAGTCTCCGAAACCCGATGGAGCAGTATTACTCTGTCCTGTGGAGTTGGTAGGAGGCAGAATCGACTAGATGGCAGTTAATGGGGACTAAGACACTTCCTTTGACGTACATAAAACCTGTGACAAAAAATGAGAGAGGAGCCCCAATACTAGATAAGTGGCAGTGATTCTAGCTTCTTGTGCAGACAGCCTGGGTTTCACAGTTCCACAGACGGAAGCGTAACGGTGCTTAGGGTGTAGTAATCACACCCCAAACCCATTGCCTACTCAGAGTGACCTTCCAGGACAGAGTGGAACTGCTCCTTACATGTCGTGAGACTGGAAATCTGTGTGAGAGCAGACTGCCTCCCCTTTCCCCCAAGCAGCGGCTGGTGGGCTTGAACTGCTGACCTTGTGGTTAGCAGTCCAACAGTTATCCGACAGTAGTAGGTGCTCATCAAATACTTGTTGAAAAAATAACAGCATGACAGAACTAAATTGCTTCCAGGCAGTAGATGGGTTAACAGCTCTGTTTGGGGCAGCAATCTGGCGTCATTACTTAGTGCAGCTTGAGCACATCGAAGGTGAAATGAAGGTTAGCAACAGAACACATTTCCCAGTGTCCTGATGTGTTCTACTGATTTGTAGATTTTTATCCAACCAATATCGATACTTTCTTTCTAATCCAATTACTCTGTTTGGTTTAATTGCAACTGTGAGTTGACTCGATGGCAGTGAGTGATGACTAAGAGGTGGCATGTGGAGCATTTTCATTTATTCCACGCTGTTGTTAGATGACAACGAGTCAACGCTGACCCCCTGCACAACGCTACGGAACACTGCAAGCTCCTGGGCGGTCTTCACGACCGTTCCTCTGCCTGAGCCCATGGATGCAGCCACTACGTCACGCCGTCTCCTCGAGGGCCCTCCTCTTTGTCACCACCCTCCGCTTCACCAAACATGACGCTCTTCTCCAAGGACTGGTCTCGCCTGACCATATGTCCTAAGTGTATGCGATGAAGTCCTGCCATTCTTGCTGTAAGGAGCACTCTGGCTGTATTTCTCCCAGCACAGATCTCTGTCCTTTCAGCAGTCCATGGTTCTTTCGACATTCTTCTCCAGCGCCACAATTCAAATGCATTGATGCTTCTTAGATCTTCCTTATTCAGTGTCCAATCTCACGTGCATATGGGACAATGGAGAGCACCAGGCACAACTTAGTCCTCAGAGTAACTAATAGCCTTGCTCTTCAACACTCTGAAGAGGTCTTGTGCAGCAGATTTACCGAGTGCAGTACTTCCTTTGATGTCTTTTGGTCTCTTGACTGCTGCTTCCATGAGCTTTGATTGTGGATCTAAGCAAGGCAAAATCCTTCACAACTTCAACACTTTCTCCATTTATCATGATGTTATTGCCTGTTGGTCCTCAGTTGTGAGGATTTTGGTCTTTTTTTACATTGAGTTATATCCATATTGAAGGCTACTGCCCCTGATCTTTATCGGCAAATGCATCAAGTCTTCCTCACTTTCAGCGAGCAAGGTTGTATCATCTGCATTTCGGGTCGTTAGGAAGCCTTCTTCCAATCCTAATGCTGCATTCTTCTTGATACAATCTACCTTCTGATAATTTGCTCAGCCTACAGATTGAACAAGTGTGGTGAGAGGCTGCGACCCTGACACACACACCTCTGATTTTAAACCATGCAGGGTTCCCTATTAGTGGTTTAGCTACATTATTGTTTTCCTTTTGAATTTGATGTATTAATACAACACTAAACAGTATACTTATGACAGTACTTAGGAAGATTATTTTGGAAAAGATTTGTCTTTATTCCCACTATCTTTAATATAAGAGCATTAAAACCCATAGTTTCTCATTTTATTGTGTGCTTTATCCATATTGTGTACCTTTTACATACTCGACATCAGTGAATGTACAATTTTATCAACATTCTTCCATGTTAGAGTTATAATTCTTTTTAGAAGCCACTCCATTAGAAAGCACATTTATAATTTAGCGTTTTCTGAGTAGTTATGCTAGTTCTTATTTCTTGGATTGTGAATAAGATTTGCATGAGCATTCTTCTGTATCTAACTTTTCCCTTTATTGTAGTTGTCCTTAGGCTAAATTTCCATGAGTAAAATTATTTAGCAAAGGAGATTTAAATGTTTTTATGGATCCTTTTATAGTACTGTTTTCCAAAAAGAATATACAATTATATTCTTGAAAATTTATTTTCAATATTTATGCATTTTTAAAAAACTTTACTAGAATTGATCATCTCTTGCTTTTCAGAAAAAACTAGTATCTAATTATGTATTTTTAAAATGTTACAAGTAACAAGGAACGTAACATGTTCTATTGTTTACTAACATACCTCTCCGAAAAATATTAATATATACCCTTTGTTATTGGTCATTTACTCTTAGAAACAGTAAAGCATGTGCTAAGGCGCCTATGAACCCACCTAATTTAATTGCCTTTTGAAACTGTACCTTAGTTACTGGATGTGTTTATGTGTCCAACTTTTCGTCATTGCAGACCACTCATCAAGGACTCTGTATCCAAGGTCCAAAAGTTCGCTTCCCAAAATGATGAATGCCGACATGGATGGTGCGTGTTCCTTTTCCATCTGATACTTTCCTGGTTGTTGGGATGCTATTGCTTGTTAAGCAATGGGAAGGACAGAGGGGCAATTACTGGAAGACCAGCATCTTGGCTGTGTTTAAGACTTTAACCCATCTGGTTCTAGAAAGGGAGCCCTCGTGGCAGAGTGGTTACTCGTTGGGCTGCTAACCATAAGGTTAGCGATTTGAAACCACCAGCCACTCCCCTGGAGAAAGATGAGGCTTTCCACGCCTTTAAAGAGTTACAATCTTGGAAACCCACAGGGGCAGTTCTACCCTGTCCTGTAGGGTCGCTGTGAGCCGGCATCCACCCGATGGCGATGAGTTGGGGGTTTAGGAGGTCATATTATTTGTGCCTTGTGCAATGTGGGGGTGTCCATTTTTGCTTCCTGGAGTAGCATGATGGGTGTAAAGAAAGCATCTTGCTGGTTTTTAAGCACTAAGCTACACATGGGACCACCTTCTGTGAACTACAATGAGCCTTCTCATTACAGCAGTCGATGCCGAGAACCAGGTGGAACTGGAAGAAAAAACCCGGCTGATTAATCAAGTGTTAGAACTCCAGCACACACTGGAAGGTGAGTTGGCATTTTGTGGTTTTCTTGAATGACACTCCGATCTGCGCAATAGCATTTATCTCGCTAAACTTCAGGTTACTGCACACAGTTTTTAAAGGTATAAATCTGGAAGTCCATTTCCATTGTTCTTTCCTCCTCCCTCCTGCCTACAGTGTTGGCTAATGATTTTAAAGGAGAGAGAGGTGCAACAAGGAGTTCAGGAAAATTCCATTATCTTTTAATTCCATTTTTCCGTGAACTTTATGAACCCTCCTGATAGTATTATGTTTCCTCTATTATGTCTCTTTTCTCCCAGTAAATGACATGGTGCTATTTCATACACGAGAGCTTGTTTTTAAGCTTCTGCCTCGTGTGAAAGCCCACTTTAGTTGGCTGACACCTGCGTTCGGAGTCTTGCTGGCTGGTGGAGGCTGGGTTGGCTGCTCACCACAAGTTGAGCGTGTGGAACCCACCCGCAGTTCTGCGAGAGACGATGACAGACTCAGAGACCCACGGGCAGTGCCACTCTGTCCGTAGGGAGGCCGTGAGTCAGAATCCACTCGATGGCATGAATTGGGTTGTACATGCCTGTATTAAAAATTGCGTCCACCAAATGAATTCAATGAGAACCACCACCCAAACAACTTGTTTTTAAAATGAAAGTAAGCAGCTTGGTGTCCCTCAGCGCCCTCTGGCTGCTTCCCATTGTACGCAGCGACAGCCTTCCTGTGTCCCCAGCTGCGGTTTCTCCGCTCCACTCAGTCTCGCTCAGCCTCGGCATTTCCACCTCAGACACACTGTGCCCCTTGCTGTTCCTTCCGCGTGGCAGTGACCCATTGGCGCAGTGTCGGAGCAGCTGCTGTCCCTTGGTCTGAGTCTTCCTCCCTTACTTATTTGCATAGCTACTTGGCTTCATTTCCTCACTGCATTTAGGTCTCAGGTCAAATTCCCCTGACATTCCCAGTTACAGAGCACCTTCTCTTCTAATCGCTATC